ACATCAATTTTTATATTCTTAAGTTGATGAAAACAAAGCAATAGTAATTTTAATTAAAAAACATTAGCAGACATCAGTTCTTCTGTTCTTAGTTGATGAAAATAGCTTATTTCTTTACCATTTTGTTAAATGTTCTAATTGATCAATATTAAAAGAATTCATAATTTGGATATCTATGTTATCACTTCAAGGCAAGTTTTACATAATAGCAGTGTGACATTCTTGTGAGTTATCAGTTCAGATAAAGAAAACTCTTAAGCAAATATGAGGCCCAACTGCAGTACACAAGGGAAAATTTAAATGTTTGAGAGACACAGCTCCCATGAAACATACTATAACATACCTATCAGAGTTGTGTCATTGCCTCTATGAGACTCTCAAACTGGTCATCATGAAGCCCTTCCTGCTCTAGCAAAGGCTGGAGAAATGGCTCAGTGCTTAGGTGTTCTTTTAGAGAACCTGGATTGGATTCCCAGAATCCATACTGTGGCTCACGGCCATATGCAACTCCAGTTCCAGTGATCCACTACCCTATTCTGGGCTTCCTAGACAGCAAGTATGCAGGTGGTATACAGGTATTCATACAAACAAAACACCCATATGTATAAAATAATACAAAAGTTTTTTTAAAAAAATATAATATGTAGAAAGCAGTCCTTGTTCATAACCCCAATCTAACATGCAAGCATGGAACAGGATGAGAACAACCTTAGAAGGACTTGCAGTGCTTTATAGAAGCACACTCTGCCAAAGACTGCCACAAGATTCTTAAGTATTTATAAGCATGGCTGTAGAAGTTAATGGTCACAAAAGAAGCTTAGGACACCAGCACAGAGGACCATGCGGGTCCACCCAGAGTGGGCTTATGTTACTTAATAGGTAGAGTTTCTGACTTCCATTCTTCATTCATCCACACTGGTGTTAATGAAGTTTTCCTTCCTTTTTTCACAATATCGCACTGCCCTGGTAATGAGGAAGAGATGGTTTGTAGTTTTAATGTCCTAATTTTTTGGTTTATGAAGACCTGATTCATGATAAGCTGATGTAAATGACTATATATCATCCCAAATAGTGAGGTGGAGGATGGAAGGTTAACTTCCTGTCATCACTTCTTCAGGAGAAACTGTTTTGTGTGAATGATAAGGGGTGGTGATGGAATAATATACAACTAATGAATAAAGGAGTGGATTGTTAAAGGCTTTGAAATACCCTAGATGTCTGTGTTTCTTTTCTCTTTTTAGCACAGAGATGATTTATACTCCAAATTTGATATACCTTCATAATACCACAGAAATGTATTGGTCCCAGTGGACAGTAGGCCCAGTGATGAAGATCACCTCTGGACTCCAGGAATAAGTTTTCCTGCCCATAAGTAGGCCTTTTCAAGTTCATACAGCAGTGTGAAGTGGAAAGACTTGGAAGGTGTTTAAACTACACAGGGCGTGGAGCCCAAGTCACCTGGTTGACTGGGTAGAACAAAACTTCCTTGCCAATCCACAGGGCAGATGTTTCTGTCAAATCAATCATTCAGCAAAAGGGTGGACTATCAACATTCAATGACTTGGACAACTTGAAGGTGCAGGCTGAGTCAGGTGAATACATAGAATGTTCCTGTCTTCATGGGAAGTCAGATCTGAGTCCAGGTAGAGTATGTGACATGGGAAGTACAGAGCAGATGAGCTATGCACATTGAGAGCTGAATCTATCAACATACAAATACCAGAGGAGGTCTAATAATAACCAAACCGTCCAGACTGGCTACTTGGCTCTGGAGAAGTATGTTGGGTGGCCAAGAGTTAAAAATAATCCAGAAAATGGACAGGGGGCAAAGGAAGAGCAGGGAAGGAAATGTGGAGTGAAGTAGAGATGGAGGAAAATGCCTGTGGAGGAAGTTGTCTGTGAAGGAAGCTGACTATAGAGGAAACTGACTAGGAAGGTGGTTGACAGAGTTATCCACAGAAGACACGCCTAAACAGAGCTAAAGAGGATTCAGCCAGCAGACTAGTACGAACTACCTCATACAAGCTTCTTGTATAAACCAAATACTGTGCTTTATATTCAACACACATGGATGATATCAAATACAGCCTACCTGCCCCAAAGCCAGCTTCAGCCACCCATGTCCAGTTTTGCTGGGTAAAAGAGCCCTCTTGTGGCTGGGGAGATGGCTCAGTGATTATTAGCACTTTCTATTCTTGCAGAGGATCTATCTGGTTTTGGTTTTCAGCACTCACATGGTGTCTCAAAGCCATCTGAAGCTCCAGTTTCATGGGATCTGCCACTCTCTTTTGACATCCTTTGGCACCAGATGCACATGTGGTACACTTACATGCATGGAGTCAAACACTGGTACACTATGTATGGTCAATAAAATAGATAAACCTAAAAATATTGTTAAAAGACCCAAATTAATAGTGGAAAGTAGAAAACGATTTATTCATTGTGTTCAAATTGGAAAGAGGAACAAAGCCATGCAAGACACCCTGCTTCAAGACTATCTGCCTTAAGTAATATTGAAGTTTAAATATCTGCCATCTAAGCAAGTCTGGTCAAAGTGGGTCCCTCATTGTCTGGGCTGTAATCTCTGGCTCTTAAGTGTTAAGTTTTTAGAACTGCGTGAAATATCTTTTTGGAGAGACAAGTCATACCTCTGGCCAGGGCCTTTTCTTTTTCTCAGCATGAGATTCTTGGAGAAATTTCCATGTCTTTGAGGTAAATTTTTTAATATTCTGGTAGTCAGATTGAAAGACACAAATAAACCTTTACAATATTTTGTTTGTTTCTGCTAGGCTTGTCACCTGAGGACTTGTGGCCTTGCTAACAGCACAGATGTAACAATGAGGAGACCAAGATGCTGTCTTGAAAAGAGGAAACTGAACACAGTTTTATCTGCATAAGAAGCAGTAAACAAACCACCATGTGAACCTGTAGTTCTTTGGCTATTCATCCAAAGGCGGCAACTGCCCTCTACTGTTCAGACAAGGAATAACAGCCTCTGACAATAGGAAAAGAGGGAATAGGATAATTCTGTTCTGCCCAGTGCCCTGTAGTCTTGGGATTCCAATTTCAAAAGTCAGGGAGTCAAACTAGCGTGGAGAGAGACAGAGACAGAGAGACAGAGACAGAGAGGGAGGAAGGAAGGGAGGGAAGAAGGGAGGGAGAGAGGGAGGGTGGAAGGGAGGGAGGGAGGGAGGGAGGGAGGGGAGGGGAGGAGAAGGGAATGGAGCAGGAGGAGAGTGGACAGGAGGGGAGGAAGAACAAATCAACAGACTTAAAACCATAGCCCTACTATTTTAACCCTTGGGTTGATTTTCTGGAAAGTGCTTTGGGCCTTCAGAAAGAAACTGCCAGCGTTTTGTTTTGTTTTGTTTTATTCTTCTCTCATATATTACACCCCACCACAGTTTTCCCTCCCTCCTTTCCTTACAGTCTCTGTGACACACACCTTCTTTCTCTCTTTCTCTCTCTTTCTTTCTTTCTTTCTTTCTTTCTTTCTTTCTTTCTTCCTTCCTTCCTTCCTTCCTTCCTTCCTTCCTTCCTTCCTCCCCCCCTTTCTTTCCCAGATCTACTCCTGCATTTCCCTTTGCTTTGTACACCGATATGATTATGTGTGTTACATGCCATGGAATTTTATATGATCCTAATATGGTCCAGAATTTTTTCTGTGTGATTATTCTCACTTGATCATAGGATGATTACACATTTAGACACAAACATCCCATGGTGATGATGCCTCGGTCTCATCCTTCATGTTGTGTATAATACTGAAATGTGTCAGGAATAACTGATACCCAGTGGAGTGTAGAAGGTGTGCAAAGCATATGTGTGTGTGTGTTTCTGGGTACTGAATATACAGTTTTAGCCATGCTAGTTACATGCTGTATCACTAAACTATACCCCCAAAATAGTTTTCACTTAATTTTTTTGAAGCTGGCCTGAATGAATTGATAATCCCATTTGGATTTATAATCCTTTATAATCCTTCTGCCTCAGCCTCCCAAAGTGTAAAGAATTTGATTGATTTTGCTCAACCCGCGAAGTCTTTTTCCTTTATACCTCTGAAAGCTAGTGTTCTGGACAGTGTCCTATCTCAAGTTCTGCCAACGATGACTGTTTCTAGAAACACTAATGACATTTTCCATCATGGCAACAAGCCATAATTTAAAATCACCTCACAGCATGGTCCTATGCACTCCCCATGTAAACTTTTTTCCTATCCCCTCTCTCTTCCTCACATTTATATTTATTATCCTTGTATTTTTAATTATCTACATAACACTTAAGAGAAAAATGCATTAAATGAAAAGGATTAAGGAAAAGTGAAAACAGGTTTCAGAAGACAGTTTAGTGCAGATAAGACAAAGATATTCATAAAGTTGAGTATAAGTTAGTAGAACATAAAATTTTAGAACAAGGGAGTGTTGGAAAGTATCTAGTTCATGTTCCAGATACCTGGTGGGGCACTACCAGTCACCAAGAACTCGAATTTCTGATTTACTGAACCCAAATATATGGCTTGTGTCTCTGGTTTACCCTACTGACCCTTTTTTCATGTTTCCCCAATGATCAGAGGGTCTGCGTTCATGAAACTGACTACAGAAGGCACGGGGAGATTTCAGAGGGGCTTCGGTGTTCCCTTGGATGTGTCTAACAGTAGACATGTAGTCCCTATGAGGTGTACATGGGCTCCAAATTTAAAAAATTCTCAGAGATACTTGGAAAGCAAAAGACAAAAATTGATTGCCAAGGATTTGTAAATTGGGCAGCTGGCCATCTGACAGAGAGAATGACATCACATGTGTATTAGAGATACACGCACACACACACACACACACACACACACACACACACACACACACACATCCCACATAGTCAATCACAAAATCAGGAATCTTTTAGCCATAGACCTACTGACCAGTTTTTGCTGTGCAAGTTTCTGCTTCATACTGAGAAAGTAATGACAGTTCAGTCAGCCACTGATACATAAACACAGCCAGATATGGAGTTGAAAGGTTTTTAATGGGGGAAAGAATATCATCGAATACACACTTGTCTCACTCTCCACCCCCCTTTCAGATGAATCCTGAGCCATGGAAAGAATAGCCATTCTATGAGAATTTGGGCAATGCTAAGAGGCTCAGGAATCCTTGAGGATGAGGATGAGAGACAACATTTTCGCAGGGAGGGATTAAAACTGAAGGTCACAGCATGTGTAGCACAAGGCAATGGAACTCATAAGCAGGTTGGAAAGCAGCCTCAGCATCTGGTGATCAGGTCTTCAGGCATAGCTGTGTGACAATGTTACTTCTGCTTTGTCTTCTGCTGGTATGGTGATGGAGTAACAGTTGGGGGGCAGGGCTCAGGAACAACAGGGTGGCAGGGCTCAGGAGCCTTGGGGTGGCAGGGCTCAGGTGCCTTAGGCTGGCAGGGCTCTGGCACCTTAGGCTGGCAGGGCTCTGGCACCTTAGGCTGGCAGGGCTCAGGCACCTTGGGTTGGCAGGGCTCAGGCACCTTGGGTTGGCAGGGCTCTGGCACCTTGGGCTGGCAGGGCTCAGGCACCTTAGGCTGGCAGGGCTCAGGCACCTTGGGCTGGCAGGGCTCTGGCACCTTGGGCTGACAGGGCTCAGGAACAGGCTGGCAGGGCTCCTTGGTTTTGGGAGCACAGGGTTCCTGGGGTGGTGGCTGGCAAGGTTGTTTCACCTGCTGCTGGTGCAGCTGAGGGGGTACAGTGCAGGGCTGCTTCTGCTGGTGGGAACTCATGATTAGATAACACTTGGTCCTGGAAAGAGAAAAGAAAATTTATTGATTCGCTGAAAGAGAAGGCAATCTCAACCTCAAGTCAATTTAATTTCAGGCCCCTTTAGAGAAAAGAGCCTCTCTCCATGCTGACTTCTACATTTGAAAATAATACATGGTGTGATAATTTCTGGACTTTTTAAAGATTATGAGCCAGAGTGGTTTGCTCTGGTTCATCTCAGTGGGTTCTTTTCTCACTTGTTTTCTCCCTGGTCATGTTATCTACTCAGTTGAAGAAACTCCAAGGCATAAATGAAAAGAGCAAAGAATGACATATGCATATAAAACTCTCCTGCTAAATCCTACACTAACCAAAATATTAATAATACTTTTTAAAAAGCAATAAAGTATCTCAAAATAACTGGCTTCTGACAGGCTTGTGAACCTACCCACCAGGATGTCTGGAAAGTGGTGTCACCTGAAGCAGCTGCATACCAACCTCCTTGTCAAAAAAATCTTAGTATGACTTACAGAATGGCTGCTTGTTAGTCCATGGCCATGTGCTTTTGCCTTTTTAGTTTATGCTCTCGTGATTTCCTACAGATTTCCTCCACTTCCATCTCTGCTTATCAAATGATCTTCCATCATAGTTCATGATATGTGTTACCACTAAGGCGCTGTCCTTGAGCCATGCCTCTCTCTCACAGTCCCTCCTCACCATTACTTTCTTATGCATGGCATTTCAATTACACATGTCACCTTCTCTGCCAGACTACATGTATGGTATGTTTCATATTGGCCTAAAAATTACTTTAGCAGATCCTTTTAATGAATTAAATGTCTATGTTGATGTCCCTACCAGTAAGAACTGCAATTACTCTGAAAGCTATCTGGACCTAAACCTTAGTCTGAATCCAGCTGTGAACTTTGGTGAACATTTGAGTGGATCCTTCCTTCCCCTGCCCTGATCTCTGATTCCATGGCTGACTACTAAAGTGACCAACTGAACCATCTCTCAAGTTCCCAGACTCAAACTGTGCTATTATTTAAGCAAATAATGCTACTGGTCTCTAACTGTCAGAAACACCCCACATCAACTCAGTCATAGACATTGGCTTTGTACAGTTTTCCATATTGAAAAATAAGCAAGAATTTCAAATCATTTGCAAGCAGAGACTTACCTAATACTCAGAGAAGAGTAGGCTCTCTATTAGCGTGGATTCTGTATGAAGGTAATGGGCAGCTGGCTTTTTATAAGAAGAACACCTCCAGGAAACAGACTTGCCCCAGATGCTCTGTTTTCCTTTCTTACCAGTCACCTATGACTCACCCTCCTCCCCTAGTTCACCCTCTGACTCAGCTTTTGTGATGGAAACCACCCAGCTGATATAATGACACTGACAGTTTGACGATGATGTCACCTGGGTTCCCTGTCACCCTCCTCCTCAGGCCCAGGTGTCATGCTTGTGTTGTGAGAGGGTTAATGAGCTGGCCTGGAGGAGGGTTGAAGTGGTCCTGACACCTGCTGTCTTCCTTAAGTTGACTGATCCTGGTATTCTGTATGGCAGAATACTGTGTGCATTTAAACAAGTAAAGCAAAAAGAAAAGGGGAAATGGGGTGGGTGCTTGCTATCTCTTAGTGACGGTGTGTGCTGGAAATACAGAAGTAATGGATTATAGACTCTGTTGTGTGGATGATTCATAACTTTACACACATTTCTTAAATTTTTCTCCCAATTCCATGGAACTATACACACTAAAAGTTATGTGCATACCTCCCCCAGCCCCACCCCTTTCTAGCTGGTCCCTAACCTGGGAAAACCTGCTTTGCTTCCTTACCACACCTTCCCCCTCTCCCCACAACCTGTTTCTGAAATTTCAAACTGCTAAAGCTGATCAGCTGATCAGTTTTCCAGGGTAACCTTTTCTCCCACTCCACCTAACCATCTGGCTGTGGCTGCTTCCTCTTTTCTAGCCCAGTTGAATTCTTACCCACACCTGAATATCTGGAAGCCTTTGGTAACCACCTTTATCCTAGGGACAACAATGGAGGTTTGGCTGGCTCTGTAAGGAGCCAGAAAGAGGCCTGGCCTGCCTTGTGGTAGGGCCCTCAGCTGTTACCAAGATGAACCTGTGAAGTAAGAGTATGCTATGTCTTTACAAGACTCTGAGGATAAGCAATAGCCCTTTATAGATCTCCAAAAGGTAGAAGGGCTATGCATTAGCATAAGGAGAAATAAAATACTCAAATAACTGGCCTGGGAAGTGTGGATTTTAGAATCTCTGTACATATATATGTACGAACATAAATATATATACTCATATGTGTGTGTTTGTGTGTATGTGTGTGTGTGTGTGTGTGTGTTCTATCTTTACACACACCAATAGATGGAGTAGTGGTTGAAAATGATGCAGTGTCTCCCTCAGAGGGGTCCCACATTTACCATGGAAAGAAATTTCATCTGCAGAGAGCTCCTAGGACATTAACGACAGACACATATTAGACAGCCTGTTAGTATTTGTTAGAATAAAGAGGAACTATGAAGAAGAAACACATATCAACATAGGAATATCATTATTTGAACAGGAACAGAAATGATCTTGAGAGCCCTCATGTGTACTAATTCAAAGAAAACAGGAAAACACTGTAGTTCATGAAACCGTCAGTCAGTCAGAGTCTGAGAGAGGAAGGAAAAGGCCATGATGCTAAAATGAAAATTTTAGATTTATTTGTTTAATGTGTATGAGTGCTTTACCTGAATGAAATCTATGCCGGGACCATGGATATCTGAAAAAGGTGGCAGATTACATTAGGGATGGTGATGAGGCAGCATCTGGGTGCTGAAAACTGAACCTGGGCCTTCCACAATCGCAACAAGTGCTCATAATCATTGAGTCATCTCTCCAGGCCACAAACATTTTTTTTTTAGTACAATGTGGCATCAGTAATAGTGTCAGGGTTTGTTGCCTGCCCATGGGATGGATCTCAAGTTAGGTGGTCACTGAATAGCTTTTCCTTCAGTCTCTGCTCCATTTTTGTCCCAGCTTTTCTTTTAGTCAGGAACAATTCTGGGACAAAATTTAAAGTTAGCTTGGTGAACCCATCCCTCCACTGGGAGCCCTTTCTATCTATTGGAGGTGGTCCCTTCAGCTTCAATCCCATACTGTTGAGCATTTAGGATAAGGTCACCTTCATTGAGTTCTGGGAGCTTATCACATCCCATGTCTATGGGATTTTATAGAGGTTAACACTCCCTATCCCCTATCCTCACCCACCCCCCACCCACCACACTCCCACAGCTGCATATTTCCATTCACTATCCTGGCCCTCTGGGCTTCTCTCCTGTCTCCTTTCATACCTAATCTTGCCCCTCTTTCCCCTCCCCTTCGCCTCTCCCACCCAGGTTCCTCCCTCTTTACTCTCCTCCCTCTACCTCCTATAATTATTTCCTTCCCCATTTTAAGTAGGATTGAAGCATCCTTACTTGGGTCTTCCTTCTTAAACTTCTCATGGTCTCTGAGTTGTATCATGGGTATTCTGTACTAGTTAATATCTACTTACTTATCAGTGAGTACATACCATGAATGTCCTTTTGGAGCTGGTTTACTTCATTCAGGATGATATTTTTTAGTTCCATCCATTTTGCCTGAAAAATTCATGATGTCTTCATTTTTAGTAATTGAATAGTTTTCAATTTTGTGTTTGCAGACAGGAGCCTAGCATGACTGTCCTCTGAGAGGCTCTACCAGCAGCTGACTGAGACAAATGCAAATACTTACAGCCAATCATTGAACTGAAGTCAGGGACCCTTATAGAAGAGTTAGGGGAAGAATTTGAAGAGTTGAAGGGGATGAAAACCCCATAGGAAACCAACAGTATCAACTAACCCAGATCTCTGTGAGCTGCTAGGGACTAAGCCACCAACCAAAGAGCATACACAGGGGCTGGTCCAAGGCATCTGGCACATATGCAGTAGAGGACTGCCTTGTCTGGCCTCAATGGGAAAGGATGGACCTAATCCTATAGAGACTTGATGCTACAGGGAGGGGGATATGGGAGGAATGAGTGGGGTGGGGGTGGAGGGACCAGTGAGGGGATGGGGGTGGGGGTGGGAAAGCATTCTCTCAAAAGCAAAAGAGAGGGGGAAGGGGAGAGGGGAAGGGGTGAAGAACTCTTGGAAGGAGGGACTGAGAATTGGAGCAGCATTTGGAATGTAAATAAATAAAATAATTTAAAAATAGTTTAACTTTTAAAAAAGAACTCTTTTGAATCCACTTGATATTACTCAGGAGGGGGGTTTATGATAACACAGTGGCATGGCTAGAGTCACACATGTCTGAATGCCTGCCAAGAAATACAATCCCTTGATGATGGTCATTTTCTGGGAATTCCCCCTATCACACACACTTGTGTGTTCTGAGGACACATGAAGAAGTACTCCTTTAGCCCTGGCAGGAGCAATTTCTTCTGATCAACATAACATGAGACTAACGTCACTGATTCAGAACCACATTCCAAACACTATCTGTTAAAGGGTGTGACCTTCGGAACATCTAAATTATCTTAAAACTCAGGTGTAGATGATGCTTCTTCTTCTTCCCACACTTCTGTTCCCTCCCCTCCACAAACACACAGCTAAATGCTTTTGAAGCACTTGTTAACTGCACAGCTAGATCACCTCTTATGAACCTGAGTCAAGATCATCCTTCCACTCTGTTCCAATAGCACTGGTTCTCATTCATGGAAATATGTGACTTGGTGTGTAGTATTTGCTCAGTAATTGGCAATTGTAGAATTGAAGCTTGGGTGAATAATTAGAGGAAGGAAAGAAAGAAGGAAGGAAGGAAGGAAGGAAGGAAGGAAGGAAGGAAGGAAGGGAAGGAGGGAGGGAGGGAGGAGGGAGGAAAGAAGGGAGGAAGGAGGGAAGGAAAGGAAGGAAAGACATTTTTTTCTAAAGAGAACTTTGAAGACTTCTTTAAATTCTTTCTTAGTTTTATCTTACTTTATGTGTTTGAATGTTTTGTCAACATGTATATATGTGCACCATGTGTGTACCTGACATGATATTCACAAAGGTCAGAAGAAAGTGTTGGATCCCTTGGAACGGGAGTTAGGAATGATTGTGAGACATCCTGTAGGTACTGGGGACTGAAGCCAGATCATCTGCAAGAGAAGCAAATGCTCTTAATCCTTGAGCCATTGCTACAGCTGTGGGTCTTCAGCAGTAGCTAGGAATAAAAATAGAGTATCCCTTTCATGATGGTCTTTCAGAATGATCTAAGGAGAGGTTATGGGAACCCAGGACAGGACATATGACATCTCGACTGCCTTCCTTGTTCCTCTACATCATTATCACTTAATGTCATTACCACCTTTCTATGGGCTTGTGGCTGAGCCACCAACACACATGAACCCCAAAGCCTCTTGGTTCTCTTCAGTCTGCTCTAGTTGAACTTAGAGGTGTTTCTCCCCAAGTTCCCTACCCAGGCTCGCCAATAGCAGGAACTCCACAGGGATACCTGCTACTATCTTCAGTCAGAATTCTTAGCCCCAAAGGAGCCTACTTCACACTTCTCTGACACCTGGCACTACACAGTTGGAAAACTTCTCTGACCTCCATGGAGCCAGGCAATGGCTGCACACGCCCTTAATTCCAGCACTCGGTAGGGGCAGGGGCAGGGGCAGGGGCAGGGGCAGGGGCAGGGGCAGGGGCAGGGGCAGGGGCAGGGGCAGGGGCAGGGGCAGGCAGATCTCTGTGTTAGAGGCCAGGTTGGACTACAGAGTAAGTCCCAGGACAGCCAGGTCCACACAGAGAAACTCTGGAAAAACAAAATCCCCCAAAATCAAAGGAGCCTTTCTTACTGGGTACTTGTCCCAGGTAGACTCTTCTTCCTGCCTCAAGCTGTGCTGCCTTCAGCCTAAGGCAGACTCTAGCTCTAGGCACTGATACTTTCTCCTGACACTAGCACTGGTCCTCCTCTTTGAACATCTGAATCCCACTTGCTTGTCAAGGAAGGTTTCTCCCCCTCAGTATTCTTAGATTTTCTTCCACCAGGGCCAACGTGAGTACAACCTCATAACCTGCCACACAAGAAGATGGGAAACTGGCATGCTGCCAAACATCTCTCAGGATTTCCAGTCTTGACCAGGATCTTCCACTGGCTCCAGATGGCTGCTGTTCTACCCATGATAGATGCTGGACCCTTTCATCTCAGCTACTTGATTGA